CGCCAGCGCCGACCTTGGCCGCCCTCCCCGGGCGCCCGCACTCACCGCACAGCTTGTTTCCGATGCCGCCCGTGAACTTCTGGGCCACCTGGCACCAGGCTCTCGCTGCGGGGAGAGAAAGGCAGGCGAACAGCGAGGCAGAAAGATTAGTGCATGGACGCGGGAGATGTTCTGTGGCCAATGTCAGCACACCCGGGGACCAGGAAGGGGCCGCCACTTTCCTTCTGCTTGGCTGCCCCGACTCAGTGCGGCCGACAGGTGCGCGAGGCGCTGGAGCTGGGCGGCCCGGCCCGGCCCTGGTGGTGGGTCTGCTCCCCCAGAAGCCCGCACCGCGGCCCTCGGCCCTCGGCCCTTGCCTTCAGGTGCCAGTCGGTTCAGGCAACCCCTCTGCCTTGCCGAGAGGTTTTCTAGACAGCAAGGCTGTCCATTTCCAATCAGGCTCTCTTCAGACCGAGAATTCTCTCCTCTTTCCCATTTTCCAGCGTCCTCCCCACGCTGACCCCCCCGCCCAGGTCCAACACGAGGTCGGAGCAGCACCCCAGGCCCACGGAATTCGCTGTCCTAGAGACTCCGCTGTCTTTGACAGGGGGTGAGGGAGGGGGCAGGGACCCGCGGACGAGGCTGGGACTCTTCGGGCATCTACCCAAGGGACAAAGGCTGCGGGGGCCTCGGGCTCTTCAGCCATCAAGGACTTACCCCGAGATCAGGGTGAAGCGCCCGAAGAAGTTTGCTGTTGCAGGAAGAAAAATCTCCGTCTTCACAGTGGCCCTGCAAACCCCTGTCCGCCAGCAAACCTCACCTCCGACAGGTCCCCTTTTTCCTACCTGTGCTGGGGTTCTCGGGATCCCCGGAGCCATCTTCAGACCCGAAGGACCAAAAGCCAGAGCCCGGAGATGCCATCGGCGTTGTGAGACTGGAGCAGGTCGCCTCCGAGTGGGAGCTGCGGGCGAGCAGCCTTCGCCTCGGCCCTGCGCGCGCGTGCGTGTCTGTGTGTGGCGGGAGGAGGGCACCGCGCGGGGACCGACGCGGCGGAGCAGGGGGAGAGGGTGTCACACAGGGACAGGAGACGTGCGTGTCTGCGTGAGCGTGTGTGTGTTGGAGTTAGGGCTCCGGGAGGTGGCAACGCTCTGGAAGGCGTGGAGGTTAAATAGGGAAGGGGACCGAAGTGCTCTCTGTCCGGAGACGCGGAAGCGCGGAGCGCTGGAGGGATTTTGAGGGAGAAGGAGCCCAGTGGGGATGGGTGAGGAGGCGGATGAGGGGAAAAAATGGGAGAGGGAGGGAGCTGAGTCGTGTGGGTGCAAGGCAGACAATGCGCGCTAGCAGGAGTCAGAGTGAGGGGGTGGGAGGCGTGCAGGCGCACCCCTGGAGAGCTGGCGGCTGGAGGCGCCCGCTCCCGCGCTCGCCGCGCGCGCTGTCCAGGGTGCTACCGAAGTCGCGGCGCGCTGGCTCGGCAAGGGGTGGGCAGGGGAGACCTCGGCGAGGCGGGCAGGTGGCTGAGACCTGTTCTAGAGAAGCATCGACCGGCGTATTGTTTGAGGTCTGGCTCCCGCTACGAGGAAGGACGCGCGGCCCTGGCGCCGCCTTCCTCCGAGCGGGTGCTGAGGTCGCTGTGACCTCGACATCTCGCCAGGGCCGGGTTCACCAGCTTAAGGAGGGGACAGTGGGGGATGAGCGCCTACACGCGTATGGCCTCGTTTCAGCTTCTCAGTGGAGCCTGCTTCGCTGCGCACTGAGCCGCGCCATCCCCGCGGCGTACAGTTCCTGCACAGCCGGCGCTTGGCCGCGGGACCCCCAGTCCAGGTTCTGTCTGGCGGCTGGGAAGAAAGACTGCTGATGGAGGCAATTAAAATCCACACTGGAGTTATCCCGGAGGACCTCAGGCTGGGGGGGGGGGGGGGGGAGGTGGATAAAACGAATGGAAACGTCTTGGAGGCATTAGAGAGTGGTCAGAGCTTGCAGGATTGACGGCTGATGGGGGAGGTCATTTGGTGACCTTGTCGGGTGGAAGCGTGGAGGGCGGGTTGCTTTCTCTGACAAGAATCGGGGTGTGCGTGGGAGGGGTGCACGAGGTTTCCAACGAAGCCTGGGTTTCTCTCATGGGTTTCCATATCCTAGGAGCTAAGAAGGCACCATCTGCTGGGACCTCGGCTTAGGGGGCCTCAAACCAAGGATCTCTCTCCTGCGCCAAAGAGAATTTTCACCGTAGTAGGTGAAAATTCACCTAGTGGGTAGGAAAGTCTGGGCAGAGAACCAGAAGAGAGCAGAGGCGCTCTCTCTAAGGCCTAGTGGATAGGGGCGTCCCCTTTTGTAGTAAAACAGCGATAACCCAGAATCTTTCCTCTTTGATGGTTTCTTTTCCCACAAGGCGGGAGCCCCAAGGTTGCGGGCCCTTGGCGTTCGGCTGCTTAGTCTTGGCGGTCGAGATCAACTTCAAGTTCGCCTTGCTGCTCCTGGGCTCCGGACGGAGGGAGGGGATGACGCGGGCAGAAAAGGGCTGCATTGGGCCTGGCGGCGCCCGCCCTCTCTACACCTTTACGGAGCGCCTGTCATTTCCATTGCGCTCGCGAGCTGTCCTCTCTCCGACCTCCTGAACCGGACACCAAGCCGCAGCCCGAGCAGACGCGCGGGTCCTGTCTTGGCTACCTCGACCCTCGTTTAGCAGGGACGTCGTTGGGCCCGGGTGGCAGCCTATGGACCCATGTCCTGTGTTCCCTGGCCTATTCTTCCCACAAAGCTCTGTCCTCTTCCCACTTGCCCAAGTTCGGGGCGGGGGTAGGGAAGTTCTGGAGGAACCGTAGGATCTGCACTTCGACTGCCTGCGGCGCGGGGGGGTCCGGATGGCTGGGAGCCAGGGCGGTCCAGGTGGGGTCCTGCCGGAGGCGGGGCGCAAAGCCGGCTCTGCAGAGAAGCCGGGCCCAAAGGGCCACTGGCGGTGGTCATGAACCCAGACCTCCACCTGACAGGTCTTTCTGGCTATCCCGGCTCCGACTGTCCAGCTGACAAGGCACTAACAACTCCAGGAAAATGAAGACTGCCCTAGGAAAGTCTGAACCGAGGGTGGGGCAGCTCCGCTCCACGCAGGGACCAGCTCTTTGTTCAAGTCAGCACGGAATCCTGTAAATATTTCGCTTCCAGTAGGTGGGCTGGGTTTGCAGAACTTTTCTACAAGGACAAGCAGTCGAAAAATACAAAGGTTCTTAAAAACAAGAGTTTGAAACACACAAAAAATCCCCAAGAAAGAAAATGGATTAAACAGGAGAAAGGTAGAAATCCCAACACCTGAATTTATAACTGTTTTATTTTTTTTTCTTTTGCTCTTACTTAAATGGCACTGTTTAAACTCCATTAAATCCTGCACTTCCAGCATTCTTTGAATCGAATGGTGGTGTTCACATTTTTTATTTGAACACATCCTACTTCAGATGCAGACGGGATCTGATTTGTCTTTCCTTAACGTCGTCCCTCCCTGGACCGCAATTCGCTGGGTAGGGGCTTCCATTGCGCCCAGACGGCATTCCCGTATCTCTAGGGCTCGGGGTTGGAGATAACAAAAGAACACGGGAGGTAATAATTACAGTCATTAGTTCACAAAGGCGGCAGTCGCCGAACGGGAAGGAAGGCGGGCCAGCGCCACGCCGGGAAGCTTTCAAAGGCCCTCCCTGCAAAGAGCAAAACGCAGCGCTGCAGGGGCAGCCCGCTGGGGCCGCTGGGGCCCTTTCTTTGCATGACCTATTTCTTGTAGAAGTTTGTCGCGAGATCGTGTCTCAGGCCAGGACAGAGAAGTGTTTGGTACAAGTTCCCTCTTCCTATCCTTCCACTATTGAAATGCAAAGGACACAGAATGAAGGGAAATAGAGAAAAAACAAACAAACAAAACAAAAAACAAGACAAAGAAATACAAAGGAAAACAAATATGTAGCAATCTTTCACAAAGCGTTGGCCATTCTCTTTCCTAGTTTCACTTAAAGCGGGAGGAGAGGGAGTACGGAAGGGAATCTGTGGCCCACCAGCCCCCAACCCAGCAGAGGCTGAGGCCACTAGAGAGGAACCCGGAGAGAAGGGTGGGCTTCTGGAGCTGAGCTCATTTGCCCATCCCACCCCACCCCAGGGCCTCCTAGTGGTAGGTGGACCCGGTATAGGGGCAGGGGTGCTGGTCACCTTGGGTCACAGATGTTCTTGCCCTCTCCCATCTACTGTGCCTTGTGCTGGTTTCCTTGGTGTCTGGGGCTGCGTCCAACCGCTCCGCTGATCTGCAAAGCCTGAGGGTGACTCCCCTTTCCTGATCCCAATTCCCAGGGAGGCCACTGAGCTAACTCAGGTTAGAGCAGGGCCTGGAGTGCCCTGGGGTCCAAGCTCCGCTGCCAGCTAGAGCTGGATGTTCCCTTCAGCAGATCTCATTTGTCAAATCAAGAGGTTGCTCCAGTCATCTCTAGAGACGTTTCATCCCCAGCTTTTTGCGTCAGAGAGACTTTCACCTCCCAAGACTAGGGGTGTAACAAACGTTATCCACTGGCTGTATGTGCCCCATCACCCCTTCAGTATTTCCCAAGTTTCCCTGCTCTGGCCCTTGGGTTCAAGAACTGAGGGCACCTGCAGAATGGACTGGCTAGAACTCCTCCTTAGATTCAACCATAGGTGTCACCACCCTACGACCCGTCTTCACCCTCTCCAGGCCCCGTAGACACGCGCACAGTGTCAACTCACTCCAGTTTTTAACAGAAGGTGCAAACCCTCTGCCCACCCTACCCCTCCCTCATCTTCAACACACCCAAATTCAGGACACGGGAGAATGAACGTTCCAAATCTGCAGTTCAGGGACCTAAATCTGAGCTTTCTCAGGTATCTAGCAGGCTGGGCCAAAGGAGGCCAGGTGAATTGAGATAACAACGTGTGTGTATGTGTGTGTGTGTGTGTGTTACGTGTGTGTGTGTGTGTGTGTGTGTGTGTGTGTGTTTGCGTGTTTTGTGGGGCTGGGGAGCTGTCTGGAGGTCGCATTTGTGTCTCAGTTAGGGCTTTTAACTTAGATGGGCTGTTTGAGATGGCAACGGGAAGGAAGGCGGGCCAGCGCCACGCCGGGAAGCTTTCAAAGGCCCTCCCTGCAAAGAGCAAAACGCAGCGCTGCAGGGGCAGCCCGCTGGGGCCGCTGGGGCCCTTTCTTTGCATGACCTATTTCTTGTAGAAGTTTGTCGCGAGATCGTGTCTCAGGCCAGGACAGAGAAGTGTTTGGTACAAGTTCCCTCTTCCTATCCTTCCACTATTGAAATGCAAAGGACACAGAATGAAGGGAAATAGAGAAAAAACAAACAAACAAAACAAAAAAACAAAACAAAGAAATACAAAGGAAAACAAATATGTAGCAATCTTTCACAAAGCGTTGGCCATTCTCTTTCCTAGTTTCACTTAAAGCGGGAGGAGAGGGAGTACGGAAGGGAATCTGTGGCCCACCAGCCCCCAACCCAGCAGAGGCTGAGGCCACTAGAGAGGAACCCGGAGAGAAGGGTGGGCTTCTGGAGCTGAGCTCATTTGCCCATCCCACCCCACCCCAGGGCCTCCTAGTGGTAGGTGGACCCGGTATAGGGGCAGGGGTGCTGGTCACCTTGGGTCACAGATGTTCTTGCCCTCTCCCATCTACTGTGCCTTGTGCTGGTTTCCTTGGTGTCTGGGGCTGCGTCCAACCGCTCCGCTGATCTGCAAAGCCTGAGGGTGACTCCCCTTTCCTGATCCCAATTCCCAGGGAGGCCACTGAGCTAACTCAGGTTAGAGCAGGGCCTGGAGTGCCCTGGGGTCCAAGCTCCGCTGCCAGCTAGAGCTGGATGTTCCCTTCAGCAGATCTCATTTGTCAAATCAAGAGGTTGCTCCAGTCATCTCTAGAGACGTTTCATCCCCAGCTTTTTGCGTCAGAGAGACTTTCACCTCCCAAGACTAGGGGTGTAACAAACGTTATCCACTGGCTGTATGTGCCCCATCACCCCTTCAGTATTTCCCAAGTTTCCCTGCTCTGGCCCTTGGGTTCAAGAACTGAGGGCACCTGCAGAATGGACTGGCTAGAACTCCTCCTTAGATTCAACCATAGGTGTCACCACCCTACGACCCGTCTTCACCCTCTCCAGGCCCCGTAGACACGCGCACAGTGTCAACTCACTCCAGTTTTTAACAGAAGGTGCAAACCCTCTGCCCACCCTACCCCTCCCTCATCTTCAACACACCCAAATTCAGGACACGGGAGAATGAACGTTCCAAATCTGCAGTTCAGGGACCTAAATCTGAGCTTTCTCAGGTATCTAGCAGGCTGGGCCAAAGGAGGCCAGGTGAATTGAGAAGACAACGTCTGTGTGTGTGTGTGTGTTTGCGTCTTTTGTGGGGCTGGGGAGCTGTCTGGAGGTCGCATTTGTGTCTCAGTTAGGGCTTTTAACTTAGATGGGCTGTTTGAGATGGCCGTGGGGGAGGGATTGCAGATAGAGACTGAAGACACCTCAGCCTGACTCCCTGGGTCCTGCAACCAGCACAGTAGAAGCTAGGCCCAAAGGGGAGCAAGGTGGACCACACCCAAAAAAACAAGGACTTTGCAAGACTTCCTTTATTTAGCAACTAAGGGGAGGGAAAGTGCAAGTGTGAGATGAAGTTCTCCCCATGCAGGTGGGTCCACAAACAGGGTCAGGAACGAATGAACAAGGAGATGCTAGGAGACTAGGAGACGGGAGACAAAGATGCCCAGCCGGCAGCACAGTGAGAGGGAGGGTGCAGGGCGCCCAGACCTGGCATTCAGTTTCCCAAGGGCTCTTGGTTCTTCCTTTGGAACACCGAAGGCGGGCCCTGGCACTCAAGGGGCGAGTGCCCTGGGCAATCACTGAGGAGATTTAGGGCCGTGGCTGCAGTGCCTGGTGGGGCCAGTGCCAGTGGGGCCGGTGGGGGTTCCCCGCTTTGGCCTCTGCAGCACTCTGCGAAGTGGGGGCTTCCCAGTAGCTGGGCTACAACTGCTGCATCAGACGCCGACGCTGAGAGGTTTTGCGCAGGAGTCTCCTGTAGTCGTAGGGGCTGTCTGTGGGCTTGCTCTCCTCCTCCTCTTCCGGGCTCTCCGCTGCCCAGCACCTGTGAACCAGGGAGACCCAGGGCCCCACCCAACGTCAGTGTCCATAGCGCTCAGCGCAAACCCCCCCAGCCCGAGTTGGGCGGGTCACTTCTCCACGCAGTCCACCCACTACTGGCATTCAAGAAAAGCACACTCAAAAAAGATCAAGCCAATAGCCAAATGTAATGGCCACAATTCTCTCAGCAGGTTTTTCAAAACTTCTCTGAGCCAAGGAGCAGAGGGGCAGACGTTTTTGTGTTTGAGAGCTAAGTCAATAAAGCATCTGAAGGTAATAAAGCATCTTTCAGATGGAAAAATTCACAATCAATGAACAAGTATTTTTGTAACTTAATTGTTAACACATTTCAGTCAAACAGGACAATTCAAAGTGTTGAAATAGATACCTATATTTTGCTTTAAAAGTTGCTTGAATATTTCTTAAAAAACAATCCCCTTGGGGTCTGAGGGCAGCATGGTGATGGAGTGCTAGATTGATTCCCACAGGGCAGATCCTCAGATGGAGTCCTGGACCTGGTGGCTTGCTTTCTCACTTTTCCTCTCTCTCTCTCTCTCTCTCTCTCTCTCTGTGTGTGTGTGTGTGTGTGTGTGTGTGTGAATGCATGTGTATGTCTGGTGAGCATGTGCGCCCTGGAGCAAATTTAAAATAACAATAACAATGATAAATACATTTAAATAAACCGTTCTTTAACAACAACAACAACAATCTCCTAAATCTGACCAAAGTCAAATCTATATGGCCTTATAGTGACACAGGGGAGGTTGGCCCTGCTAGCTTTTATCAGTGTTTCAAAATTTTCATCCAGGCTGCTTGGCTAAGTTTCCTGAACCCACTGCTGAGAAACCTGGTTTGTGTTTGCCTTTAGTTTCTGCAGTGGGGTGCAGTTACGTAAACTCATTCATTCACTGAGCACCTACTAAGTGCCAGCCGCTAGCGTAGATGATGGCTGAACAAAAGCCCCTGCTTCTATAGTTTATAGCCTAGCCTGGGAGAGGACTGTAGATGACTTGAAAGTACCTAGTGCTGAGAAGTTGCTATCCGAAAGAACAAACCAAGGTAATGGGGAGAGAGTGAGGTGTAAGTGTGTGAGTGTGTGTGTGTGTGTAAGCTATTTCACAGTTAGTGGTCAAGAAAGGCCTCTCCATAAGATGACATCTGAGGAGAAACCTGAAGGAAGAGAGCGAATGAACCATGTAGATCTTTTCTGGAAGAGCAGTCATTCCAGGATGATGGATCAGTCAATGGAAAGGTTCCAGAGGAGCCTTTGGACACATTATGTGTGAGGAACAGCAAGGACACCTCTGTGACTTGAATGGAGTAAGTGAGGAGGAAAATAGAGATGAGAGCAAGAGGAATGAGGCTATTGTGCGGCAGGGGATTTATCTCTTTGGGACCATGACGAGGACTTGGATTTTACTTAGAGTGAGAGAAATATTGAAGGGTTCTGAGTGAAGTGACTCGTCAAAAGATCTGGCTGCCCTTGTGAAAGCAGAGTCCAGTTGTGAGAGAGCGTGATAGTTCAAGCAAGATGGATAGTGGCTGAGGCAGTTTACAGAGAAGGAGGTGAGAGTTGGCCAGGTGATGACCATATTTGGGAGACAGAACTGTAAGACAGACTGAATGTAGGGTGTGAAAGAGAGGGTCCAAGAATGTCCCCAAGGTTTTCACCTTAAATAATTGGGAGGATGGAGTTGCAATTTAATGAGATGGGGAAGGCTTCAAAAAAACATACGTTGAAGGGGAGGAATAAAGATTTTAGTTTTGGTTAGGCTAAGCTTAGGATACTTAATAGATTTTTTAAAAAAAATTATTTTATTTAACTTTATTTATTTATTTATTTATTTAATTTGACCAGAGAGGGAGGAAGGGAGGGAGGGAGGGAGAGAGAGAAAGAGAGAAGAGAGAAAAGAGAGGAGAGAGAGAGAGAGAGAGAGAGAGAGAGAGAGAGAGAGAGAGAGAGAGAGGAAAAGTGAGAAAGCAAGCCACCAGGTCCAGGACTCCATCTGATTGGGGTCTGAGGGCAGCATGGTGATGGAGTGCTAGATTGATTCCCACAGGGCAGATCCTCAGATGGAGTCCTGGACCTGGTGGCTTGCTTTCTCACTTTTCCTCTCTCTCTCTCTCTCTCTCTCTCTCTGTGTGTGTGTGTGTGTGTGTGTGTGTGTG